TAAAGAAGAAGAAGGCAAAAGGAAAAGAACCGAGATGTGGTATGAACTAAGAGATTTCACCGGAAATATGGGCATGAATCTTGGAGAAGAAAGAAGCTTCGAAGAATGTGTCTTATGGTGGGAAAACGGAGTTCTTCCGGGTAACAATATCAAAGAAGCTTTTGGACATTACATGGTCGGACAGCTTACAAAGAAATTTCATAATGCAAAGTTCAAAGATGATTTCTTCAAGCTCAGAGAACATGTCAAGGAAATTTTGAAGAAAGACTTTGGTGTGAAGAAACCTAGAAGGTAATCTGAAAATTCTCTTAAGCTGATATTTTCTATTTTCGAACCTCTATTGCGTTTTTCTCTATAAATTCGAAATATATCAATAATAATTTCCCATGGTCTATTTTGAGTCTTTAATTTTATTTGTTTAATGTAATTAGACTTTTGTGAATTAAAAGACAAGAAATATGTCAAACGCACGACAAAATTAAAAATTGATGATGATCAAAATAAAAATAATTCAAGATGCGTTTAGGAGCTTGTCTAAAAATTTAATTCACAAGTTTCTTTTGATTGTGTCTAGAAAACCATTTGTTAAACTCATCTTGGCTTTGTCAAATAAAATTGAGCAAAAAGATTATTTTTCAAAGACTTAAAGCCAATGACTGAGTATAGGTTTTGGCATTATCAAAAGGGGGGAAATTGGGAGCAAGTTTCACATGGGAATCAATTCAATATGGGAGCCAATGTAGAATTGAAATTGGGAGCCAATTGAGGTTATAGTATGGGATGCAATTTCAAAGTTGGGGACCGATTCAAAGAAGACATGGAGATCAAATTGAATTGAGATGAAATTCAAATACCAGGAGAAGTCTGGAAGCCAATTTCAAAGTCAAAGTCAACAATTAAAATTGGGAAGCAATTGAAAGCACCAGGAGCAGTTGGGAGCCAATTGCAAGTCAAAGTCAATTGGGAGCCAATTACAAAGGAGAAATTCAATTTGGGTGCCAATTACAAGCCAATTGAAATTGGGTGTCAATTACAAAGGAGAAATTCAAATTGGGTGGAAGTTCAAAGCCAGTTTGAAGTCTGAGAACACCCAGACGTGAGAATGAAGAAGATGAAGATGAACTTACAGTGAAAATATTCTCACAAGGAAAAATACTAGTTTAACTAGTATGGGATTAAATTGATGAATATTTTTAAATCCCAAAGATACAAAGACCACTTCAGAGCTGATCAGAGAAGCCATTCTACACCAAAACTGAGACCCAGATATTTCCACTCAACGTAAAACCAGAGGAGTATCAGATGAAGTTTGGGAGCTCATTTACATGGAGATGAAACTCCATCAACGGCTAGCTTATCTCTTTCTGACATTTTTGCAGAAGATAAGATAAGATCTCTGACAAAAGATACAAGATTTCAAAAATGAGAGCGTCTCTTTCCAACGGACAGATTCTCATTACCAGCTATAAAATGATGAAGATATGAAGACTTGAAGATGGGGAACTAACGAACTCACGAACAAGAGAGCAGAAAATTCGAATCCATCAAAGGGATCGAATAGAGCAATTAAGCTTGAAAGAGCATAGAGCAAAAATCTCATTTGGTACAGAGCATACCAAAAATCTTCAAGTGAGAAGTGAGAAAAGAAAAAGAACTCAGAGAGCTTCAAAAGAGAAATATTCTGAGAGTTCTTAAACAGAGCAAAACAGAGCATAAATATCAAGTGCTTTACTTGATATATTCAAAGAGAGAAAACACTCAGAGCTGTCAAGAGAAATCTTTCCAGAGTGTTTATCTTCATCAAAGAGACCTGCGCATCATTGAAGATCATCTACAGAGTCTCAGAAGTTGGAAGCAAGACAACACTTGTTTTGGAGCAAAACAAGAGAAGGGAGGAAAGTAGCACGGAGCTGTGAAATCCTGGATTGTCACACGGAGCTGTGAGATCCGAAGCAGCAGTGTCAGAGGCACTGGGCGTGATTGGTGTGGGCTTGGTGATCAAAGCACCAGATCACGGATACGTTTCTACTGGAGTGTGGAAGACGGGGGGAAAGTAACGCGGAGTCGTGAAATCCTGGGATAGTAGCGCGGCGACGTGAAACCCGAAGCAGCAGTGTGGTGTCACTGGGCGTGATTAGTGCGGGCTTTGTGATCAAAGCACTAGATCACGGAAATTCATTGTATCTTGGAACCAAGGAGTGGTAGATATAGTGAATTGGCTCTTGGAGAAAAGAGCAAGTGCAGTAGGAGGATTACACCACCTCGCGAACCACTATAATTGTCTTGTGTTCTTACTGCTTTCTTTACTTATCGCTCTTTACATATTCGCTCTCACGAAGATATACTGCTCACACAATCTCACACACACTTTATGTTTATTTATTTCCGCTGTGCACCATACTCTAACAATCTAGTTAAGAGTTTTGGTTTATCTCTGTCTTAGCAATTGTTGTGCTGTGCGAAAAAGTTTGAAAGTCTATTCACCCCCCCCCCCCATCTAGACTTTCACCCTTCCTCTTTTGGGACCAACACATCGCCTTCACCGATTCCGATAAGTGTATCCCATATTTCTTTTGCTGTGGTGCACTTTCGAATCTTTGGGAATATGGTGTCATCTACGGCCTTGAACAAAATATCTTTGGCAATGTTGTCCAAATTATTTCGTCCTCTATCTTCACTAGTCCACTCCATTTTTGGCTTTGGAATATATTTTGGAGCATCTGGATTTAGTGCGGCGGCAGTGTTAACTTCCATGATCTTGATAGGACCATTTGTGATGACTTCCCACATTTCATCATTTAGAGAAGATAAGTGCACCTGCATTCGAATTTTCCAATCATCAAATTTATTAAGTGAGAAAAGTAAATTTTGAGCGAGAACCATATCTCTCTTCATCTTGAAGATTTTGAGATCTATCCAGCAGTCAAAATTGACTCAAATAGACAACCGCTCTGATACCACTTGTTGGTCCCGAAAGGGTGGTGAGAAGTCTAGAGGGGGGGTGAATAGACTTCCCGAGTACTTCGCACCAAGTTGTACTCCTACACCACGAGAACTACGCACAAAGCTACGCTCTCACAGGGTTTTCACAAGCTCCTCTTGTTACTCTGCCCTTTACACCGAGTGCTACGCACAAAGCTACACTCAACCAGGGTTTTTCACTCTCTAGTTACTCTGCCCTCTTTCTACACTCAATAGAAAAATCTACAAAGAGATAAAATTTTTCTCACACTCTGACTTGAATTCTTTCGTATATAGCTCAATATATCACTTGATGATTGATTGGATATTCTACGTATTTTTCTTGTAGAATTCGTATACTGCTCTTGTTCAAGTGCTTATTCAAGTGTATTTGTTTTCAAGTCTGCTTGGGCAATTTATAGCCAATGAAAGCTATTTGCCCGTTGATCAACTTTCGATCTCGATCGTCCTTTTTGAATTGTAGTTGATCAAAAGATATTGTCAACTTGATCTTAAATATTAGGTAGATGTCATTTCTCCTTTTGTCAGATGATTTGAATAATTTGCCCGTTGCCGTGTCTTGAATTTTGTAGCCTCCAAAATTTGAATAAGTTCGGCGCGGCAATCTTGATATTTCTTGTCCTTCATAAATGCTCTGACATGTCAAGTTGATCAAATAATTTATCTGCTGATTCTTGCTTGAGTATAAAACAATTTCTCCGCGAATCAGCCTCCATCGAGCGTCTCCGGTTCCACCGTAAAAACTTGATGTTCAGATGAAAATATATCAGATATTTTCTCCTTCATGATCCTTGTAAAATAATATACTGGAACCTCTGTAAAAACTTCATAATTGTTCATGGTGAGATGCTCTGTTTCGATTTTAAGCTTGGTCCACCATTCTTGGTGTGTTTCTTCATCTGGTGCATGGCTCTTGTGAGACTTGTGCATTCCCTTTGGTTAGTCTCCCAGCTAGTCTCCTTGCTAGCTAGTCTCCACTCCAAGCTAGTCTCCAATACGGTGGAGGTTAGTCTCCCAAGCAAGGTAAAAATGCTTCACTTGAAATTCAAACTTAGGATCATTTGGCATAGCTCACACGCATTTCTTCCAACTCCTCTAGCATGGTTCTTGGTGACTTATTCGCATCATAATTGTGTTAAGCTATAATCCCGCTTAACTTCTTTAAATAAATTATGATCTTCCAGACTTGTACATGGGTTGCATGATATGGGTGCACCATACTCCGTAGACTTAAACTGACTTAAATAGAATAAAAATGGGGACTACTTGATTTTTCAAAAATACATTCGGCTCATCAAAATTTACAATATATTCCTAACAATACCCCTCAGCCCTTAAATCAAACTGATAGCATCCCTGCTCAGACATGTAGCCCTCCAACTATTATGAGTGATAGAAATGAAGTCCAATCCATTGGTCAAGAGCAACCTGTATCTTGTGAGGATAACCAGCAAGGTTATGTCTGCCATAACTCTGTTGCAAGGACATCTCCTCATGACATCAGTAAATTCATGGATTATAGTAAGATGTCACCCAATTTTCAGTCATTTGTTATGAATATTACTCATCACACTGAACCAAAGAACTTCAAAGATGTAGTCCAACATGAATGTTGGAGAAAGGCCATGGATAGTGAGATTGCAACACTTGTTGGAAACTAATACCTGGAAATTAGTTGATCTACCACCCAACAAAAAACCTATTTGCTGCAAATGGGTATACAAAATCAAATATAAAGCTAATGGAAGCATTGACAGATACAAGGCTAGACTTGTGGCAAAAGGATACACTCATACCCTTGGAATTGATTACTTGGACACCTTCAGCCCAATAGCAAAAATGACAACAATCAGAGCCTTCCTAGCCATAGCAGCACCCAAAGATTGGCACATTCATCAGATGGATGTGAACAATGCTTTCTTCATGGAGCGCAGGTATGCAAGCTAACTAAGTCATTGTATGGTCTGAAGCAGGCAAGCAGGTAGTGGAACACCAAGCTATGTGGTGCTTTACAGAACATGGGCTTTAAGCAAGCCATTGCTGAAAATTCCCTATTTACTAAAGGTGAAGGAAAATCCTTTGTGGCACTACTAGTCTATGTTGATGACATTGTTGTAGTCAGTGCTGATTTGAAACTCATACAACAAATCAAGCTCCATCTCAGTAACAACTTTCAAATAAAAGACCTAGGGCCTCTCAAGTATTTTCTAGGTCTAGAAGTGGCTAGACAAAAGAATGGAATCTCAGTTTCCCAAAGGAAGTATGATTTTGAGCTGCTGAGTGATGCAGGTTTCATGAACTCTAAACCAGTTTATAGCCCAACAGTCCCTTTTAAGAAATTTAGAAATGAAAATGACTTATTAGATGACAATTCCCAGTACAAAAAGTTGTTTGGAAAACTCTTGTATCTAACCATCACAAGGCCTGATATTAACTTTGCCACTCAACATCTATCTCAGTTTCTGGAAACGCCCACTCATCTGCATTTACAAGCAGCCCATAGGGCTCTAAGGTACATTAAAAGTGCTCCTGGTCAAGGTCTCTTCTTCCCAGCTTCATCTAGCCTGAAGGCCTTTACTGACTCAGATTGGGGAGCATGTGTGGATACCAGGAGGTCTGTCTCTGGTTTTTGTATCTCCCTAGGGCCAGCCTTAATATCATGGAAATAAAATAAAAAAAAAAAAAAAAAAGCAACCCACTGTATCCAAGTCCTCTTTAGAAGCAGAGTATAGGGCATTTGCAGCCACCACATGTGAGATACAATGGCTCCTTTATCTGCTGACTGAGTTTGGCATACTTCATAATAATGCTGTAGCTGTATATTGTGACAACAAGTCTACTATAGCCATTGCTGAAAACCCAGTTTTCCATGAACGCACCAAACACATTGAATTGGATTGCCTTCTAATAAGGGAAAAGCTACAAAAAGGAACCATCAGGTTGTTTCATGTTGCTTATGGCAACCAGTTAGCTGATGTCTTCGCCAAAACCCACTGTCCTAGATCCTTTTTCAGCTATGTTTCCAAGCTTTAATTGTTTAATCTATACAATCCAGCTTGCGGGGGGCTTTGAGGAGACAAGGATGAGTGACACCTGGCAACATCTCCCTTCTTCTACCGTTACAATTCTGTTATTCAAATCTGTTAAAGTTCTTGTTTCCCTCATTCTTCCTCTCTTGTATATAAACTCAGTACTTCCTTTGCTGCAAGAAGTTAGTTAATACAATTTAGTTTACACTATACATTTGCGTTCTTCGTCTTCTCCTTAATTCCGCAACACGACCCGTTCACTTTGCCGATCAACCTCAACTATCAACGGTGAATCACGTCTTTGCCAAAACCCAAAATGAGACATTTGCAATTATCCATATGAGCACAAAGTAATAAAATGAAGTTGAAGTAAATCAAGTGTGCCATAAGGCAAGCAAAAGAACAAAAGCACTATACGAAACAAGTAATAAAACGCAAGTAAATGAAAAAGAAATAGAAGGCGGTGCCTCAAAAGTAAGGACTGTAACGTTTATCCATTACTATTATTATAACATTAGGATAAGTTATGATAATATTAAGTATTTGATATGTGGTGCAACACTAATAACCTAATAGCTAGACTAGCATTATGATTAGGAGTCTGGTTAGGGTTTAGGAGACCTAAAGACAATCAACCACAATGATGGACAATGGTTATATAAGGTCACTATTCCTCTCACTGCTCACATTACATACCTCATACACCATCTAGAGAGAGCTGAGTAAAGTGAGAGACAAAACACATGTTATCTCCGCAGCAGTCCGGATCGCTAACTGTCTCAAGAACTATGGCTGGAGGTTAGTCGGTCCTGTTATCACATATTATATGATGCATGTGATATATTTAGTCTAACAGTTGGTATCAGTCATCATAAATAATCTCTGCCCTAGTTTGTTTAATTGCATATATATAATATTTGAATATGTTGCATACACTGTATAATTGAGATACGTATTTGAATATCTGTATGCAATTGTATGTCTGGGCTGCTAGAAATTAAGTTTATTCCGCATTAAGAAACAAAAAAACAAATGGATAATTAATTTCTGACTTTCTACTGCTCAGCGACGTGGCTGATTGCGAACATCTCCGTCGCTGCGGCTGGAAGGTAACTAACGAAGATGATGAATGAAGATGTTTAAGGTAATGGGCCAGGTCTGGCCCAATTGGGCCAGACTTGGGCTCATTATTATAAACAAAAAAATATTTTTTTTAAAAATCTGGGCCTGTTTTGGTTTTGTGCCAAATCTGAATTGATATTTGGACTACATCAATTCATTCATATTAACATCTTCATCATATTTGGACTTCTTCTAATTAAATTATCCAATTGAATTTTTTTATTAAGTCTATTATTAAATTATTATTCAACTATGAATAATTATTCAGTTTTTAATTTTTCAGTTGAATTTTAATTTAATAATGTTTTTCAGTTTAAATTGTATTAAGTGTTGCAATTTAATTGTGGAGTATTTGTGAGTAATATGCATAATCTGAGCATGCTATTTATCTCTTTATTGTAATAATTATTTGACTGTTATAATTATATGCCTATAAAAAAGCATGTTCATTAAGAAAAAATTAGAGCCTTTTAGGTCTGAATTATATGCTATGCATGATTTAGTGCCTTTTAGGTGAATTAGTGACTTTCAGGTTAGATTATGCATATTATTACTTACTCTTCCGTTATTACTCCACTCGTGTTTTATAAAGTTCCTAAAGCACATAAAGTACATAAACAATTCTTCGTAGTTTACCCTATTCAAAGCCTTATCCATAGGTGAAACTACAACTCTTTAGATCTCTCAAACGATTTTACTTCAAAAATGAGAACACATGAATTAGGGAAGTTTCTTGGAGAGGAATACTAGTTCTATGGCCCTGGCTTAAAAGCCTTGTTGCTACTAGTCCCCTTGCGACACTACTCTGTCTAAGGAGTTGGTTTTTAACCGAGCTTTGTCTCGACCAACTTTCCTGGGAGTATACCTAAGGATTGTCTATCATATTTTGGTTTAATCTGTTTGTTTATTAGGCTTTCTTGCTAATGTGATTATGTTCTTTGGTTAATTAAAGAGTAGTCACAACATCTTTGATTTACCAAAATTACATATTAAGTTTTACTCACATAAAGTTAAAGGCAAGAATATTGTAGTTAATTCTGCGTGATATGGCAAAATTTAGCCCACAAGCAATTTTGTTATATTTGTAGGGTTAATTAGGATGAAATACCATACTATGATCATAATTTGCCCACAGGGATTATGTATCGGCATATAGTTTTGGTAGTCTTGTCATTAAGGGTGGAAAAATTAAAATCGCACCCATTCCGTTTCCACCATTCAGTTTTGATAAATTCATTATGCGTAAAAATTTAGCCCACGGGCAATTTTTATGGCATCCGAATTTATCTTTCGTATAATTTTACATTGGTAATAGTATGTACTTCAGTATCTCTCTCTAATTTTGTGCCTCGAAATTATTCTAACCAAGCCTTCAATTTTCTTTTACAGTCACTCTTCCAATCACTCAATCAATAACTATTGATATTCCTATCTTTACTGATGATAATCACAAAGAGTGGAAAAACGATGTTCTATTGAATTTAGGAATATTAGAGTTTGATTATGTAACACCCCGAAATTTTTAAAACTTTTAAGACAATATAATAAAGGTAAATTCTCATTAAATCCCAAAACATAATATAAAGAGTGCAGGGTGTTATGCCACACCTGAGCTAGAGAACTCAGGTGCACAGGCTAACTAACTAATATCCTCAATAATGTAAATATATAAGCATGGCACGCAGGCCGAAAGGGAAACTATCTACTTCTACGCTTCAAGACTCTAGCGCGCTCCAGTGTCTACTCCTCTGTGCCTGAAAGCCAAATATATCTGTTCAGCGAGAGATGCTGGTAACCCACTCCAACGCGTTGAAACATAATACATATAGAGATATATATAGATATACGAAAACCATTTTGAACATGAAGATATATCCTACAAACTCTAACTTTTAAAACAGGGATAGACTCGACACATAGAGCTAAGCACAAACGGCAGTTATAGCAAGCATATATAGTTCGCAACAGGCAAGGTAGATAAGGCTGAGCATAATCAATAATCATAACCCAACATAAACAATCCCCAACGTAAATCCCGTAGTCACATCCCCAAGATACTCATAATCACAACTCATCCATATCTCATCACATAAGCACACTTTGTTGGCGCCACAGGACCAATCGCATGCCCATACATGAGGGTCAGCGCATATAGCTCTGACACGGCCCCGCAGCACCCTGCCCCGTCTCACAATACAGAGGGGTCGATCGCAACCGACCGATGAACCGCAGCTCATCATAGTTTGATCGCAACCAAATAGTGGACCGCAGCCCAAGAGTATGTCATCTGACCGCAGCCAGGAAAATGAACCGCAGCTCATGTAGAACGGTGGACCGCAGCCCTATATAATATTTATATACCTGACCGATCGCAACGGCCTGGTTAACAGTCAGTATGGTTCTCAACCCATCCGACTGCCCGTATAATCCATTTGATCGCAACCAAACGGTGGACCGCAGCCCTATATAATATTTATATACCTGACCGATCGCAACCGGCCTGGTTAACAGTCAGTATGGTTCTCAACCCATCCAACTACCCGTATAGCCAATTTGATCGCAACCAAATTGGGGTATCATGCACACATAACACATAGCAAGCACATGCAACCCACATTAACACATTGGGAAGGGGGAGAAAACGTATAACAAAACCTATGCGTGATCCTTCACATACTAAGAATAATCCTAAGGGGTTCATACTTCTTTCACCTAGGTCAACGGGATACCAATTCAACTAGCATGCAATATATAAGACTCGTACAACCTACGAACGGTACCCGAAATATCAAACTAGACATAGGCACGATAGACGGAGTCCGTTGGGACACCACGGGGGTCGGGGAACATCAAACAGGGAAGCCAAAATCCCGAATTGGGGTGCAAACCAGCGGGTAGCCGGTGGGTGAGGGTTCACCCGCCGGCTGCCCGCCAGCGGCAACTATTCCGGGCAGCGGGTGCCCGGCGGGCAGCTGCCCGCTGCCGGGGATGCCACTTTTAGCCGCGGGTAGGTGGCGGGTCCCCTACCCCCACCTACCCCCCCACTGACTCTTCTTCACAATTAAACGCCTCGGGAACCACCGTGGAACCCGGAACCATGCTTAGACACTTTCAAACGCAATTGATAACACACGTAGACAATTAACGGATCAAAATCAAGAAACATACGGCACATAACCTATCATGCTTTTCTAAACATAATCAACACCCAAGTATACAAATTCCCACCCAATCTACCAAGAATAATACCATACGAATTCCACGATATAACCTAGGGTTCTAATTATTTTTAAATCAACAAGAACACAATTCATCTTCTAATATCAAGATTCGGTAGGAATATCATATAAACATCAAGAACATCATATAATCATCAAGAACACCATATAATCATCAAGAACCTCTTATCATCAAGATTACCCATGGAATCATAACACCAATTATCAAGATCATTATAACGAATCATCAACACACAAGAATATGGGGGAAATCCTAAGAGGGGAATCATAGCTATGAAAATAGGTTTTGTTGAGACATGGGTTACCTTTTAGCCTTAATTAATTTCCTTGGCTATGAAGGGTCTTTCTTGAAGCTTTCTTCTTTCTTGATTTCTCCTAGGGGAATTCTTGGAACTTCTTGTGTGGTGAGGGATTATTGTGGTGGGGAGTTTTAGGTGCCTCTTAAGTCCCCTATTTATATATCTAGGAGTCCTAATTAGGAACTAATATTATAGGCTTGCTAATTCTATTCCTTTTAGGACTAAGGATTGGGTTTAGGGATAAGGGCCCATGGACTATGGTGGGCCTCTCCTAATTAATTATTGTGATTAACTGGTTTTAGGGATCGTAACACGGGGTGTTACAGATTATGTTATTCGCAATG